GTGCGGGTCACGGGGTCAAGTGGCGGTGAGACGCACCCCACTGAAAATGCCGGGTTCACATTTGTGTTTAAGCGAGCAGTCCCCTGAATCACGATGACCAAACCGGGATCTCGAGTCTCGCGAGTAGGCCGTCTAAGCCTGGTCACCAGTGACTCGCATAGAGACTCATAGACTCACATAGGGACTCATAGGCTCGCATAGGGACTCATAAACTCACATAGGGACTCATAGGCTCGCATAGGGACTCATAGACTCACATAGAGACTCATAGGCTCGCATAGGGACTCATAGACTCACATAGAGACTCATAGACTCACATAGGGACTCATAGACTCGCATAGAGACTCATAGGCTCGCATAGGGACTCATAGACTCACATAGAGACTCATAGGCTCGCATAGGGACTCATAGACTCACATAGAGACTCATAGACTCACATAGGGACTCATAGACTCGCATAGAGACTCATAGACTCACATAGGGACTCATAGGCTCGCATAGGGACTCATAGACTCACATAGGGACTCATAGACTCACATAGAGACTCATAGACTCACATAGGGACTCATAGACTAACATAGAGACTCATAGACTCACATAGGGAATCATAGACTCACATAGGGACTCATAGACTCACATAGGGACTCATATACTCGCATAGGGACTCATAGACTCACATAGGGACTCATAGACTCATATAGGGACTCATAGACTAACATAGAGACTCATAGACTCACATAGGGACTCATAGACTCACATAGGGACTCATAGACTCACATAGGGACTCATAGACTCACATAGAGACTCATAGACTCACATAGGGACTCATAGACTCACATAGGGACTCATAGACTAACATAGAGACTCATAGACTCGCATAGGGACTCATAGACTCACATAGGGACTCATAGACTAACATAGAGACTCATAGACTCACATAGGTACTCATAGACTCACATAGGGACTCATAGACTCACATAGGGACTCATAGACTCACATAGGGACTCATAGACTCACATAGGGACTCATAGACTCACATAGAGACTCATAGACTCGCATAGAGACTCATAGACTCACATAGGGACTCATAGACTCACATAGGGACTCATAGACTAACATAGAGACTCATAGACTCGCATAGGGACTCATAGACTCACATAGGGACTCATAGACTCACATAGGGACTCATAGACTCACATAGGGACTCATAGACTCACAAAGGGACTCATAGACTCACATAGGGACTCATAGACTCACATAGGGACTCATAGACTCGCATAGAGACTCATAGACTCACATAGGGACTCATAGACTCACATAGGGACTCATAGACTAACATAGAGACTCATAGACTCGCATAGAGACTCATAGACTCACATAGGGACTCATAGACTCGCATAGAGACTCATAGACTCACATAGGGACTCATAGACTCACATAGGGACTCATAGACTCACATAGGGACTCATAGACTCACATAGGGACTCATAGACTCACATAGGGACTCATAGACTCACATAGGGACTCATAGACTCGCATAGAGACTCATAGACTCACATAGAGACTCATAGGCTCGCATAGGGACTCATAGACTCACATAGAGACTCATAGACTCACATAGGGACTCATAGGCTCACATAGAGACTCATAGGCTCGCATAGGGACTCATATGCTCACATAGAGACTCATAGGCTCGCATAGGGACTCATAGACTCACATAGGACTCATAGGCTCGCATAGCGACTCATAGACTCACATAGGGACTCATAGGCTCGCATAGGGACTCATAGACTCACATAGGGACTCATAAACTCACATAGGGACTCATAGGCTCACATAGGGACTCATAGGCTCACATATGGACTCATAGGCTCGCATAGGGACTCATAGACTAACATAGGGACTCATAGGCTCGCATAGGGACTCATAGACTCACATAGGGACTCATAGGCTCGCATAGGGACTCATAGACTCACATAGGGACTCATAGACTCACATAGGGACTCATAGGCTCACATAGGGACTCATAGGCTCGCATAGAGACTCATAGACTCACATAGGGACTCATAGGCTCACATAGGGACTCATAGGCTCACATAGGGACTCATAGACTCACATAGGGACTCATAAGCTCACATAGGGACTCATAGACTCACATAGGGACTCATAGGCTCACATAGGGACTCATAGGCTCACATAGGGACTCATAGGCTCACATAGGGACTCATAGACTCACATAGGGACTCATAGACTCACATAGGGACTCATAGGCTCGCATAGGGACTCATAGGCTCACATAGGGACTCATAGACTCACATAGGGACTCATAGACTCACATAGGGACTCATAGACTCACATAGGGACTCATAGACTCACATAGGGACTCATAGGCTCACATAGGGACTCGTGTATATACACATAGAGACCCGTACACTCACGTAGAGATCCACCGACTCACATAGACCCATATACTCATTAGAGACCCGTATACTAACACAGAGACCCATAGACTTACATAGACCCATATACTCACATAGAGACCCGTATACTAACACAGAGACCCATATACTCACATAGAGACCCATATACTCACATAGGGTCGCCGAGTTCGTAGAGCAGCGCGCTAACCATATCACCACCGCTCCACACATTTACACAAAAACAAAGATCCCCCATATAGCCTTCTCCGGGTCCTCTGGTTTTCCCCCCTCCCCACATTTAGAATCAACATCACGCGTTTAGAGTATTCGGCAGCGATACGTTTCCACGTGGTGATTCGCTATTATTTGTGGCCAGGTTGCTTCTGAAAAAATTAACCGGTAAAAACAAAGTTTTTCACTATAAATCCTTTATATGCGTGGCATCGGTTTCATTTTATTATTCATTTCTGTTTTTCTTGAGTAAGAGTTTTCATCACATTGGTATTTTAAATTAAATATGAAAAAACATTCCTAAAAATTAAATATGAAAATTTGTTTTTTCTCAAAAGTGGAAAATTTTGGAAATTCCTTTTTCACGAAAACAAATTGTCACGCACAACGAGTCTGTGTGCAAAATGTCAGCTCGATTGGATCACGGGAAGTGGGTTAAAAAACGACCGAAAGATTTGCACGGTCGTAAGCAAGCAAGCAAGCAAGCGAACTTAATATAAAGGATTTTAAAAATTAACCCGTAAAAAAAAAGTGTTTCACTCTAAATCCTTTATATGCGTGGCGGCTAGAGTCCTCTCGTCCTTTGGCTTGAGATGGCTGCTACCTATGGGTCAGATGATTGTCTGCCAGCATTAAGCAATTGGTAATTAAATATTTAATTTTTTTCCCTAAACAGTGTAACATTTCGGAATTTTTTTTTCACGAAAACAAATTGTCACGCACAACGAGTCTGTGTGCAAAATGTCAGCTCGATTGGATCACGGGAAATGGGTTAAAAAACGACCGAAAGATTTGCACGGTCGTAAGCAAGCAAGCACGCAAGCAAGCGAACTTAATATAAAGGATTTAAAAAGAGCTCAATGGGTCCTACCTGGTAAAATAAAAATAGTTAATAATTTAGTTTAGCTTTTCCTGGATCAATAAGTAATCATCACCGTTCAGTAGTGGCTTGAGAAAGAATGTGCAGGCCTTGTACCTTTACCTGTTCTTGTTTACTTTTACTCCTCGGCGCCGTATTTGTACTTCTAATTGTGGAGTTGTAAGCGCGACGAGACATTTGATAAATCAATCGCATTATGTCCCTGATGATGATTAAGATATCGATTACAATGATGATGATGATGATGATTAGGACATTGATGGCAATGACGATGACGGTGACCGGCCCTACGATGGCATTGTTGTACGCACGCTTTGTATGCGTCAAGAGTAGCGCAGTTTGTGTGAAGCGATGATGACAATAAGTGCCACGGTTCGACTCCCGAACCCGGGCGCATGTCCGCGTGGAGTTTGTGTCTCTCCCTGTTCTCCGTCGGGTTTCCTCCCAGAGCAAACAACAACAAAACACACACGCGCACACAATGTGACCGATATTAGCCCCAACATTCCGATGCCAAATTAATTACCCGAATCTTATTCTTAGGTTTTTTCGGTAAGGTTTGATACTAAGAATAGTCTATTCTTAGTCTCAAACCTCACCTTACCATATTAATAATAAGTATGCGGCCCTTGCCCCACCACCTTCTCCAACCATTATATAAACGGAGTGGTAGCTTCTGCAATCTCTCATTTACTTGATACAGCTGTCGTGGCTGTGACGGTACCACCTGAAGACGGAAGCTTGTGTTGCCTCCGAAACGTCGTGATTTTTATTTTTATTTTATTTTACTTTTTAATGTTTTTACCTACGTGACTTTACCGAAAAAACCTAAGAATATGAATCATTGCAGTCACGAAAGCTTCAAATCTAGAATTACCCGAATCTTACTCAAATAGAGTCTCGCACACACACACCAGCAGCAGCAAGCAGCAAGCAGCACAGAATACGTGGCAGGACCCTCCTGAAAGAAACCCCGAGTCTTGAGACTCACCCACGAGGCTTCCCAACAAAGCCTGCGCCTACAATGAGGCACAGTGACCCGGCAGAGACATCAGAGGAGGTAGAGCGAGCCCTCATCGCTGTCTCAAAACACTCGCCCGCATGCATCCTGCACTCTGGAACATACCCGAGCCGCCTTCTGCGGTAGGCACGGGTGACTTGCGCCGTCTCGTTTGACCGGTACAGATAGCGAGAGCAGCAGCATTTTGTACAAGAAAAAAAAGAAAGAACATTGTTGTACATTATATATATGTGTGCGCGCGCGTGTGTGTGTGTGTTTGGTACAACCGTGACGAGCTTCGCATTAGCTGAGTCGTTCAGGGTGTCGACTTGGGAGTCGCGTCTCTCTCGGCTCTTCGTGAGGACTTACTGTGTGGTGACCCAACTCCACTAAGGAGCACACCGCCGTCTCGCGCTCACCACGCGTCCGTATTGTTGCTGTCTATTGAAATATTTATGGGGGGAGAGTTTTTTTTATTTTTTTTATTTTTTTTACCGAATTCGATTTAAACTAAATAAAATAATTTGGCTCTTCTTCTTGTGGTTACTTTTTTTTGCCAGCCCTCCTGGTCTATCTATCTCGAGACTTTGAAAGCTTTAAAGTGTCACGAAACGGTGGGATTGAAGTCGAGTGCACGGTAAGTTTATATATACATACAGACACATCGCGTGATTAGAAAGTCCAACTCGTGTTGCGGCTGTTATCGCAGTGCTTCAGCGGAGGAGAGAGCAAATTCTAAAATAAATACATTTTACTTTGAGCCCTTTCTCAATCCACCGCTGGGAGAGAGCCTACAATTATGCGGTCGGGGCGTTTGACCATACTTCACCACGCTGGTCAAGGTGGATGTGCAGGAGGCTGTCTGAGATATTCACTTCGCCAGCCGTGTCCGGGAGTTGAACTTCCATTCCGCCGTGTTCGTTGTGCGAAGCGCTCACCACGCGCGCCACGGCTCTGCACCCCCCCAGCGAGTGGCAATTCCGAGTTAGAAGGCAAACATTCGCGACGGCGACGACGATGGTTAAATGGTTCTTATTGTTATTCACTTTATTTTATCCACAACGACTGCTGCCGCAAGTGGTGGCCCAGTGGGTCGCGCGCCCGACTCGCGGTCCAGAGCTCGACGGCTGAGTTGGAACTCCCCACGCGGGGAGTGAAACAATGTGCAACGCTTCTCCACCCACCACCCACAATCCACCATCCACCACTCACCATCCACCACTCACCATCCACCCACCATCCACCCACCCACCATCCACCCACCATTCACCACCCACCATCCACCCACCATCCACCACCCACCATCCACCACCCACCATCCACCATCCACCATCCACCCACCATCCACCCACCATCCACCACCCACCATCCACCACCCACCATCCACCATCCACCATCCACCCACCATCCACCCACCATCCACCACCCACCATCCACCCACCATCCACCACCCACCATCCACCCACCATCCACCACCCACCATCCACCACCCACCATCCACCATCCACCATCCACCATCCACCCCCACCATCCACCCACCATCCACCACCACCATCCACCACCCACCATCCACCATCCACCATCCACCCACCATCCACCCACCATCCACCACCCACCATCCACCACCCACCATCCACCATCCACCATCCACCCACCATCCACCCACCATCCACCACCCACCATCCACCATCCACCATCCACCCACCATCCACCCACCATCCACCATCCACCACCCACCATCCACCCACCATCCACCCACCATCCACCCACCATCCACCACCCACCACCCACCACCCACCATCCACCCACCATCCACCACCCACCATCCACCCACCATCCACCACCCACCATCCACCCACCATCCACCCACCATCCACCCACCATCCACCACCCACCACCCCACCACCCACCACCACCCCACCACCCACCATCCACCACCACCACCACCATCCACCCACCATCCACCACCCACCACCCACCATCCACCCACCATCCACCACCCACCCACCATCCACCCACCATCCACCACCCACCATCCACCCACCATCCACCACCCACCATCCACCACCCACCACCCACCACCCACCATCCACCCACCATCCACCACCCACCATCCACCCACCATCCACCATCCACCATCCACCCACCATCCACCCACCATCCACCCACCATCCACCACCCACCATCCACCCACCATCCACCCACCATCCACCACCCACCATCCACCATCCACCACCCACCACCCACCATCCACCCACCATCCACCACCCACCACCCACCATCCACCCACCATCCACCACTCACCATCCACCCACCCACCATCCACCACCCACCACCCACCATCCACCCACCATCCACCATCCACCATCCACCACCCACCATCCACCCACCATCCACCACCCACCACCCACCATCCACCCACCATCCACCATCCACCATCCACCACCCACCCACGCATCACCCACCCACCACCCACCACCTCGAACCGCGTCTCTATGTATCGCTACATATATCTATGTGTCTCTGTGTATAGCTATATATCTATGTCTCTATGTGTCTCTATGTATCTATATGGGTCTCTATGTATCTCTACGTATCTCTATGGGTCTCTATGTATCTCTATGGGTCTCTATGTATCTCTATGTGTCTCTGTGTCTCTATGTATCTCTATGTATCTCTATGTATCTCTATGTATCTCTATGGGTCTCTATGTATCTCTATGGGTCTCTATGTATCTATATGGGTCTCTATGTATCTCTATGTGTCTCTGTGTCTCTATGTGTCTCTATGGGTGTTACTAGACGATCCATAACTTGTATTGCTCGTCCACAGTCGCGCTCCTGCGACCCGCGTCTTGAATTTGTCTCCGTGCGTCTCTCCGTGTCGCTCTGCACGTCGAACTTCTTTCGCACCGTACCTTAGCCAACCGCGCTAATCTGCAGGAGGGTGGTAAGTAGCGGCCCTCGTCGAGGGAGGCTTCGCCCGCGACAAAAACACGGAACTTTCGTGGCGTTGCATTGGCCGCCACTGGAACTTGATCGATGACTGTTTAGATCCCCTGCACATTTAGCAAGCATGGATCGCGGTGAGGAGGGAGAGAGAGAAACGGCGGGGGGTTGGAGGGGTGGGAAAAACAACAAGGGGATATGCCCTTTGCCGGAGGAATGTTGATGCCGCCTATGTTTTCATACATTCCCAACGTGGATCAAGCGCGAAGAGGGTAGCCGCTGCTGATGATGTTGCATCGCACCGAGTCTTGAGTCTCTGTGTCTGCGCGCGTGCGTTTGGGGAGCGGTGGCGCAGTGGTTAGCGCGCCACGTGCGCCACGAACCCGGCGACACGAGTTGGATTGGCCGCTCACGGCCGCCGACGCCAGTGACGACTACCTGAAGCGGTCCTTGGCCTCCCCCTAGGTCGACTCAGCCTCAAATGAGTACCTGGTGCGGTGTGTAAAGATCGCCACGATCGGGCGTGGGTCTTGGCCGCCCACCCCCTCGTGTGCCGTGCCGGCCTTCGTAGATGCTCGCTAACAGCACTTGCCCTGACAGTCTGTTAAAGGATATACCGGGAAACTTTGCCTTTAGATGTGTGTGCTCGCCAACAGCACTTGCCACAATGCTTCACGGGGGATCTTTATATTTGTATGTGTGGGGGGGTGGGGGGGGGGTCACGGGCGTTGGCCGTGAGCGGGAATCGAACTCGGGTTGCCGGGTTCGTAGCACACAGCGCGCTAACCGCTGCACCACCGCGAGACAGACAGACACAAAGACAAAGATACAAACACACTCAGACACACCGCCAATCGTCACAAAGTGGCGGTGACGTCACCACGGCGCTTGTGCCAGGCTAGGTGCACGTTAAGGCCACGTGAAGTGTCGAACGCCCGCTGGCAGGAGGTCACGGGGCAGACCCAGGTGCCACGGGTTGACTTAGATGAGTGGCCGATGCACCACCTGTGCCCCCTACTGTGCCAACTTGCTGCGTTTTAGTCTTCGCTCGTTGTTGTGAGCGTCGCTCCTCCGCCCTCCGTTGTTGCTGCCCAGTAGCGTCCTTCACGAGCTTCCTCCACTGAGGCCGATCTTGACACCGCTGGTACCAGTCATCGGCAAGTCCACTCAGCTCCACCTCCTCCTGTACCACATCACTCCATCTCTTCTCCAGCCCGTGCCGCGCCCGTCTAGCCCCCCCCCCCCCCTATCCAGCCGAACAAAAGCTGTTTAGTCATGCGGTGGCTGGGCATGTGGGCTACATGACCCAGCCAACGCAGCCTTGCCTGCCGGAGGAGCTCACCGATGGGACTTTGTCCTGATCTTTTAAGGATTTGTGAGCTCATTACACAATCCAGCCTGGTTAAACCCAGGATGGATCGTAGGCATGCCAGCCTAAATGTTGTGTAAACATCGCCAGGAAGCACGCAGATTAGAAACACCCAGACACACACACACGCATATTTCCTCTTTATTTCAGCTGGAAAGTCCCATCGAGCTCAGCAGCTCTGCTAGATGGACGGCAGTGACAGCAGCTACACCGAGTTACATAGAGTCTCATAGAGATCCATCGAGTTACATAGAAACCCATAGGGTTACATGGAGACTCGTAGGATGACGCAGAGATCCATAGAGTTACATAGAGATCCATCGAGTTACATAGAGACCCATAGGGTTACATGGAGACTCGTAGGATGACGCAGAGATCCATAGAGTTACATAGAATCCCAAAGAGTTATATGGAGACTCGTAGGATGGCACAGAGATCTATAGAGTTACATAGAGACCCATAGGGTTACATGTACTCATCGTTTTACGCAGATATTCATCCTAGATACCCAAAGGGTTGCATGTAGACATAGACCCACAGAGTTCCAAAGAGACCCAGAAAATCACATAACGATCTAACGAGCGGAGCGCCGGGTGGCTAAAGCACAGCAAGTTGGCACAGTAGGGGGCACAGGTGGTGCATCAGCCAGTCGTCTCGGTCAGTCGACCCGTTTTCATCTGGGTCTGCCCCGTGACCTCCTGCCAGCGGGCGTTCGACACTTCACGTGGCCTCAAGGTGCACATAGCCTGGCACAAGCGTCGTGGTGATGTCAGAGAGATCCATAGAGTTAGAACGAGACTCAGAGACCCACAGCCCAAGAGCCTCGGTGGTGGTGTCAGTCGCAGGGCATTGCGGGGTGGGAATGCGCAAATAAATGAGGGGCAAAGCAACAGATTATTGACATGGAACTCATGCCAGCGCTTACTACAAACAGAAGAAACACTAAATAAATAGTGCTTACATGCAAATCAACAACAGTGCCAAAAATCCAGCCTCAGACACGTGTCTAAATAAACCGAGAAACACAGAAATACACAGAGACATACACACAGAGGCACACACACACATAGAGAAAGACACAACAACAACAACCGCCATTCGCCACTAAGTGGCGGTGACGTCACCACGACGCTTGTGCCAGGCCAAGTGCACCTTGAGGCCACGTGAAGTGTCGAAAGCCCGCTGGCAGGAGGTCACGGGGCAGACTCAGCAGGTGCCACGGGTCGACTGACCAAGATGAGAAAGACACACAGAGACACACACACACAGAGACACACACACAGAGACAAAAACAAATACAAAGAGCCCCCGTATAGCCTT